ATCCTCCCAGCTTCAGAAGCATTTATCAGGAAGAATTCACTGTCTCACTGAAAATAGGAAAGCCGTGGAAAAAGAAATGGTAACACTATCTTGCTTTAGAAATTAGAGCACTAGCTTTGGGTTCAAAACCTCTCAATCGGCTATGGTTTGTTTAGAGACTTGGAGAGCTGGCCAATGAATCTCTCCCCCTTTCAACTGGTTCTAAACAGTTTACAGCTGTATCACCAGTACTTTGAAATATTTCTGCTCCCTCTAGGCAAAAGCATTTGTTATTGTGAAACTTTCTGCTAAAATCATAAGATCAGAGTTGCACGAAAGTGTAACAGCTTCTTAGGAGGGTGGTAAAACAGCTGGGGGTTGCGGCCTGGATTAGGAAATGCCACCAATTCCTTCAGCTTCCATAGCTTCATGGTGCAGCAGGCTACCTGCAGAAGAAGGAAGGGCTGAAGGACATGGCCAACAGAAGCTATGGCCCTGGAAAATGAGGCAGCAGTTCTTTTTGCTTTTAAAATTGTTGGCCCCATGGGGGTTGCACTAACCCCCTAGGCCTCTATCTGGCACAGAAGGGTCTCCTTTCTGAGACTAGGCCCCTTGGAAAGGTTCCACATGACTGAACCCCACTGAATCAGTCATTTAGTGGCTCATAAGAAAAGCTGACAATATTATGGCTCCAAGGCAGACTGCCACCTCAGAGCCTCAATTGTAACTAATGGGGGTTTAAAAGGGAGATCAGAAAATATCATGCAGATAAAATACAGAGATAGAAGGAAAGACCATAACCTCAATCTGCAAAATGTGATAGCTTTGTCAAAATAAAAGCCAAAGCTAAACTCTCCTGCTGCTGCACACCTCCTAGCTCGTGGGAACTGTTCACGCAGAGAGGCATTTTCTATTAGAGCAAACTCGGAAGGCAGCAGGGAGAAACCCAGCCATCATATCTGCACAACAGCCCCTCCATGCAAACACCATTCCAGTAATGGGAAATTTTAATGATGTAAAGCAGCAAGGTCACACGATATGTCCAGGCAGCCCTTGGAAAGACACTGCCTCGGCAGATATTATAGAGGAGAGCTCAGAATTGCTCTTGGTTCATTAGGCTTTGCCTGAAGGTTTTTTCTTCCACTATTAACTACAAACAAGGCTGAGTTTCTTATTACCCAGTTCCTTGTATGCAATGCAAAGAGGTGAAGGGCAAGGTTTGTAAATATGGGAAGGGAGACAGTTTAGATGTGTTTTTATAATACTTGAAATATTCTGAGTCACTTTAAATATGAAAATTGCAAAAGCCTTATCAATGTTGCAGTATATTTTTTCTGGCACAACTTTTTATCTACTCATGTACAGATAAAGGTATTATATGCACATAAATGTACACACATGGGATGGATTGATTCCCTCCCCTCCATACAGCACCACCACATCTTCTTACGTTTTGCCTCCTTTTCCCAGCTTTATGACCCCATTGAGATGGCTCTTACTGTTTTCCTCCTCGTTACATTTTGATATTTCAAAGCATGGCCTGGATCTCACTCCCATCTCCCCACTCCACATTATTAATGAATTGGAAAGCAGACATCATTAGTTTTCGGAGACCATTTCTTTTAAAATTTACAGACCCCTTCATCTGAATCCCCAGAGACAGTCTGCTGTTCTCATCTTAGAATCTTATTAGCATCATATCTTCTGTATCCTGCCATGCAAACTGCATGGCTATGCACTTTCTAGCACTTGACCCTTTTGCAGACAGAATTAATTTACTCTTTGAAGATGCAGCAGCATGCTGTTGTGCTTGTTAAAGAAAGAAAAGCCAAGCAAGGATATGGCAAAGCAAGCAAAGAAATTCTTGGTTTAAAAGCAAGCTCTTGTAAGGCAAGTTAGGTGAAGACTGGGCAGCAGAAACAAATAGCCAGTAACTATTGATGGAAACAGGCAAATTAGCTGATTAGCAGGAATTGGGAATTTCTGCATCCAACAACTAATGAGCATTGGGACAAGCTCCTGATATGGACTAGATTGCAGGGCTTACTTTGTAATAGAGCCTTTTGTTCTTAGAAGGTTTAGAAGACAATTCAAACAACTAATTCTGATTTCATCAGCTACGTGATCTATTTTCTAAAATCTTTCAGACTCATTTACTCACTACTCACTGTGTGCCAGGTAGTGTTCTAGATGAAGGAGACACAGCAGTGAGTAGCACAACGTCTCTTCATTCACAAAGCTTTCTTTCTAGTGAAGAATTAAAAAATTTATAAACAAGTAAACAGTTAATTAAAAACAGAGCTTCAGATAGCTATAAGAGCTATGAAGGAAAATTAACCGATGTGAAAGAGTAGAGATTATTAAAGGGAATTATCTGAAACAGGGTAATCTATTACTAAGGAACTGACATTCAAACTGGGGCATTAATGGTGTAAAACAGCAAGCCCTGTGAAGATCTCAGGGATGAGTGTTCCACACAGAATGTAAACGCTTTGAGACCAGAACAAGTTTAGTGTATTTAAAAATTTAAATGCAGCTAGTGTGGCTGGAGTAGAGTAACATGGGAGACAGTGGTGGGAGAAATAGGCAGTACCCCAGTATGCAAGAAAAGTAGACACTTAAAGGCCATGATTCAGGAGTGTGAATTTTATTCCAGCCAAAAGTTACCTTACAGTCATGCCTAGTGTTTTATAAAGACGAAACTGAAGGGTGGGGATGAGGTAGCAGAAAGAAAGCAAGAAAACCACATAGGAAGTTATCAGAAATCTGAGCAAGAGACGATTATGGATTATGGTCCTTTAGACTAAAGTGATAACAGTGGAAGTGGTAAGAAGTAGTGGGATTGAGGATATATTTTGCAGACAGAGCTTTGGAGCCCATACAGGAATTGGATGAGAGAATGAATAGTGAGCCTTTAACTGAATGGCAGAAGACAGAAGGGGGAGGAAATTGAAGATGAAATAAAAAGCTTCAGTGTGGCTGGATTAAATTTGAGATGACCACTAAACATCCAAGTATAGATAGAGTGAGGCTCACAGGAAGTCTGGAATGAAGATAAACGTAGATTTTGTTATTATAAGCTTATAGATACCATTTCAAGCCATGTAACTGGATGGGATCACTGTAAGAGTGAGTTTACACGAGAAAAGGCCTAAGGATGGCTTTGGGGCACTCCAACAAGTAGAGGTCAGGAAGAGGAAAAGGAGGCATCAAAGGAGACAGAAAAGGAGTGACTGGTGTTTCAGCAGAATAACCAGAAACCACCACAAACAACAACAGAGATTTGAAAAAGGAGGTAGTGAGTGATCAGCTGTATAAAATGCCACCAAAAGTATTAGTAAAATGAGAACTGAGTATTGGTTATTTGATTTGGCAGGATGAAAGTCACTGGCCACCTTGACCATAGAGTTCCACTGAAGTAAGAAGAAAAAAAAGCTAGACTGGAGGACAAATTGGGAAATGGTGGTGACGAAAATGGAGTCAACAAGTATAGGCAGCTCTACTGATGAGTTAGAAAGGAGAGCAGAGAAATGGGTGTTAGTTGGAGGATCCCATTTAAAGGCTTTAAGTTTGGAGCAACCATAGCATGTTTGTATATCATTAAGAACAATTATGATAAAAATAGAAAAGAATGATGTGTAAGAGAGCGTATAATTGCAGGGACCAAGGCTTTGAGGAAGAGATGGAATCCAATTCCCAAGCCAAGGCACTGGCCTTAGGAATAGGGACATGTCATTCAGTGTAGTTGGAGGGAAGACAGAGATGATAAGTGGTAGATTTGGTTGTAGGAGGAATAGGTTCTCTCTTGATAGTTTCTAATTTCTCAGTGAAATAAGCCATGAAGTTATCAACTAAGACTGAGTAATACCAAGGATTATTTAAGATTTGTAGTAAGAAATTTTAAATGAGACCAGTAACTATGATTGTGTGTTTTCCTTAACCATATTTAGCTGTTCAGGTAAGGGTGAGAGTAGGTGACATGTTGGATTTGTCAGCTTTAGGGTTACCAGCAAGTATAAGGGTAAGAGGGGCAAGGGGATATACAGCAGGTTAATTATAGTGATGGACCACAGAACTTATTATTGGTGACATGAGAAATAATAATATGAGGAAGGAAATATGAGGTTGAATCAATTGATGGGTAGGTACAATGTGGTTGAAGGATTATTGGCAAATGAATTCTGAACTTTGAGTGAGCTAGAAACATTTCTAAATGGAATTCTTAAATCAGGATTTTGGATGTGGTATGGTGGGTATCTGAGAAGGGACAGAAGAAAAGATGAGTGGAAGTGAGGAGGTAAAAGAATCAGGCAGATGCTGAAGTCACCAAGAATGTTAAGAGGTATAGCGGTAGAGAAGAATACGATCAATCAAATGCTGACTACATAAACTGCATAAACAGAAGACTGAACAAATGACCACAAAAAAAGGAGACATAGCAGATACCACAATCTATTGGAATCTGAGTCAAAGGAATGGGTTTTTGAGAGGAGGAGGAGAAAGGGCCTGAACAGAGCAATGAGGTGAAAGAATGGCATCTATCCCACATCAAGACCCTGAAGATATGTGAGAAGAAGCAGCCACCACTTTTAACAGAGTAGGAGGAGAAGTAGGGTGCTAAGGGATAACCAGGTTTGGGTTAGAACAAGAAGTTGATAGAAACATTTTTGAGATGAGATTAATAATAGAGGAGTTTTGTTTTGTTTTGTTTTGTTTTGTTTTTCTCCTAATGAAAGACCACAAGTTCCAGAGAATTTGGGAAAAGGATTTGGGAGAATAAGAAGAGATGAGAAACTGGGTCAGATTTGGAGATGTACAGAACCACACAGGGATAAGCACACAGGTCTGATCATGACCTTAGAGCTTCACTGTCCAATACAATAGTCTCTAGCAAATATTTGCCTACCAAGCCCTTTAAATGTAGCTGGCCCAAATTAAGATGTACTCTAAGTATAAAACATATATTGGATTTTGAAGACAGTACAAAAAAGAATGTAAAGTTTCTTATTAATAATTTTTCAGTGCTCACTTCTGCAGCACGTATGCTAAAACTGTAATAATACAGAGAAGATTAGCATGATTAGCATGGCCCCTTCACACAAATTTGTGAAGAATTCCATATGTTTTCTGTTATTAAAAAGTCAAAAAATAACAGATGTTGGCAAGGTTGTGGAGAAAAAGGAATGCTTTTACGCTGTTTGTGGGAGTATAAATTAGCTCAACCATTGTGGAAGACAGTACAGCAATTCCTCAAAGACCTAAAGAAAAAAATTCCGTTTGATCCAGCAATCCCATTACTGTACCCAGTACAGTATATCCAAAAGATATCCAAAAGATTATAAATTGCTCTGTTATAAAGATGTATGTATGTGTATGTTCACTGCAGCGCTATTCACAGGAGCAAAGACATGGAATCAACCCAAATGCCCATCAGTGATAGACTGGATAAAAGAAAAATGTGGTGCATAGGCAACTGGAATACTCTGTAGCCGCAAAAAAAGAATGAGACCATGTCCTCTGCAGGGATGTGGATGGAGCTGGAGGCCATTATACTTAGCAAACTAATGCAGGAACAGAAAACCAAATATCACATGTTCTCACTTATAAGTGGATGCTAAATGATGAGAACACACAGACACATAGACGGGAACAACACACACTGGGACCTATTAGAGGGTAGAGTGTGGGAGGAGGGAGAGGAGCAGGAAAAATAACTAATGGGCAGTAGGCTTAATACCTTGGTAGTGAAATCATCTGTACAACCTACCCCCATGACACAAATTGACCTATGTAACAAACCTGCACATCCTGTACATGTACCCCTGAACTTAAAATAGAAGTTAAAAATTAATTTTTATATTAAATAAATGTTTAATGTTTTGATATTTTGGTTTAAAAATGTTATTAAAATTGATATCACTTTTTAAAAACTGTTTTAAATGTGGCTACTACAAAATTTTAAATTACATACATAGCTTGTATTACATTTCTATCGGATAGTGCTGCCTTAGAAGCTTTTATTTCTGGTGGTGACCTAACAGGGATGTTTGGCATGTTGGGATTAGGCCTGATAGATTTTTAGAGGAAGGTAGACCATCAATTCCAGTTATGCTTCTTTGGAGTGGTCTTTTCAATCCTTGCTTCTTCAATATGATTTTTAGACTAGTAGCATTGGTACCACCTGGGAGCTTGTTAGGTATGCAAAATCTCAGGTTCTGTTTTTTACCTACAGAACCAGAATCTGCATTTTAACAAGATCCCCAGGTGAGTATTATGCATATTAAACTCTGAGAAGCACTGCTTGGATCATTTTCAAGTGGTAAGGCTGATGAAGATGAAGCCAGGGAAAGGAAAGGGTACCAGAAACATCTTGCTAGGTGAGAAGTGGTCTTACCAGTGGGTAATTTGCAGTCTGGAGGAGAAGCATTCAAACCTGGGATAGCAATGACGTGTTTAGAGCTATACTTTCTAATATGGTAGCCATTGGTCACACGTGGTTATTTAACACTTGAAATATGGCTGCTATGACTTGAGATGTGTTGCAAGTGTAAGATGCACATCAGGTTTTAATGACTTAATATGAAAAAAAGACAGTAAAATATCTCATTAATAATTTCTAATGTTAACATGTTGATATGATAATATCTGGAATATACTGAGTTATATAAAATATATTGTTAAAATGAATTTCACCTTCTTTTAAGGTAGCTATTAGAAAATTTAAAATTTGTATGTGGCTTCCATTACATTTCTATTCAAGAGCACTTCTCTAGACCATACTGGAAGAGTCAAGCCTCCAAGATTCTCCCATACAGACAGACTGTATAGCAGGGGTTGGCAAAAAATGGCCACTACCTATTAGTATAAATAAAGTTATAGTGGAACAGCCAGATTTTTTATTTCACATTGTCTATGACTACTTTCATGCTATAACAACAGAGCTGGGTAGCCGTGAGAGAGAATGTATGGCCCACAAAGCCTAAAATTTTTATTAACTAGCTTTTTACAGTGAAAGTTTGCTGAACCTTGCCATAGAGGGAAGATGGAGAGGACTCATTGTTTTGTAATTCAGGATGGTTCAGGATTCACTTTCAGATTGCATAAAGCCTTTGTTTACAGAAAAGTGTGACTATAGCTAGAAAAATATTCTCATAGTAGTTGAAAAGCAGGATTAGAATCCTTTACATTTTATAATTGTTTATTTAATTGCAGTATTCTTTTATATTATTGAAACCATAATTCTGTTCCCATTTAAAATACTTTCAATAGGAAATACTCTTCAGAATCTATAAGGCTTATTAGTTTGGATTCTAATTGCAGTCAGATACTATTAAGTTTTTAATAATTTTAATTGGTTTATTTTTCTTTTATTCTCCTATTGCACACTGAGTAATTACTTAGTAATACGGTACCAAATGCTAAGATGCATAGCAACTTTGAATATGATAAGACAGGTTCAATTAACTTTTTTGACTAGTAATTATGTGCCCCTTTATAATATGGAAAGTAATAAACTTATTATTGCTTATCATTATTGTTCTTCCATCTCCATTTCTGCTATACTTCTTAGCTCAGGCCTTTAGTAAGTCCTGTGTTTTATACCAACATACCCCCCAGTTGGGTTTTCCTTTCTTAAATTTATTTTCCTCTGTAATCCATTCTTTTAACCATTTCTAGACTAATATTTTTAAAACACGACTTTAATATTCAAACTTCTCTGCTAAAAAAATCCTCAAGACCTACTGAATTTTAAAAACCTTCTGTCAAGTTCATAAACGGACCTTAGACAATCTTGTAATCTTATTTTCCATTAATAATCTCCATTCTTCTGCATCTCCATACTGCTATAGATACAGATCTTAATTTCTCAAAATGGTTCTCTCTTCTACATTCTTCCAGATTAGATTTGGTTAAGGTTATTGTCTTTAGTCGAGACTGTAACAATCACTTATAAAAATTTCACAGTTATCTCTATTCACTTATCACTTTAATGAAGAAACCATACAGCTGCTACAGAATTTTCCTAAATCATAAGCCTAGCTGGGTCATTACTCTGCCTAAAGTTCTTCCACAGTAACTCATTGTCCTACAGTTATGTTTCTTAATCTTTCTCTTTTTTTTTTTGTACATCTCTTTGAGATTCTGAGGACAGCCATAAAATGCATATAAGAATGAAAGCACACAGTTTTACATCTAGCTAGCATGTAAAAAGTCACAGGTGGCCTTTGCCCTGTGGCAACAAGAAAATAAAATAAAAATCATACTAATGTAGGGAACTATTAAAGACTGGTGAGTGCAAGGTAGTTCTGATGAACTCATTTCTAGAAAATGGAACCCTTCAAAGGTAAGCAGAAAAATCTTGTAAAAGATAAAAGATTTTTTGGAATCAAAAGGTAATCAGTCAACCTAGTAGCAATAGCGAGGGCTGATGGGGGCAGATTAAAGTCTGGAGGAGCCCCATACATACCAGTAATTTTAATGGCATAATAATCCTTTCTCTACCCCAAATTTTGTTGAGAAAGCAACAGTGAAGGCAGGCTTAAGAGAGTAAAGAATATGAATAATCTTTTATATCCTTAGGGTCCCTGCAGCCTACCTAGTGTCATAGTGCTCTAGTGAAGCTAAATACAAAGAATGGAAAATAGGTAAAATTACAGGCCAACCTCCTCTAAGCTCAAATACTGATAAAATAAGAGGGATTAGTTTCTCAGTGGAGGCAACCTGGGAAATATGAGGCCTGCTCTATCAGAGGTGAGATTAATTTTTATTAAGGCTGTAGCTTAGTCACAGATTAACTTGACCCCTCAAAAAATTTAAATTATATCGCCTCTCATTTTAGATGCCAGAGATAAGAAAGTGTACCCTCTTTCGAGGAAAACTCAAACAAAACAAGACAAAGCATGTTTAAGTCTCCCACCCTTTGTCTATACACAATGTCTGGCATATAATAAAATACCATGACTCATGTAAAGAAGCAAAAAAATGTGATGCACAACCAAGAGAAAAAAACATTAACAAACAGACTGATGCCTCATATAGTATAATAAGTGGATCAGGACTTTAAAATCAATATAAATATGTTCAAAAGTTTAGAACACAAAATGGTAGAATTTATGAACAGAAAGGTAATTTCAACAGAGAAACTGAAACTTTAAAAGGAACCAAATGAAAATTCTGGACTAAAAATAAAATATCTGATATAAAAAGCATATTGGATGCATTTAACAGCATACTGGACGCTGCAGGAAAAAGGATGAGGGAATTTGAGATAGGCCAAGATAAATTATCCAAACCGAGACAACAACAACAACAAAAAAGATTAAGAAAAACATAATGAGCTGGGCACAGTGGCTCACGCCTGTAATCTCAGCACTTTGGGAGGCCTAGGCAGGTGGATCACAAGGTCAAGAGATCAAGACCGGTCTGGCCAATATGGTGAAAGCCCGTCTCTACTAAAAATACAAAAATTACCTGGGCGTGGTGGTGCATGCCTGTAGTCCCAGCTACTCTGGAGGCTGAGGTGGGAGAATCGCTTGAACCCAGGAGGCAGAGGTTGCAGTGAGCCAAGGTTGTGCCATTGTATTTCACTCTGGCGACAGAGTGAGATTGTCTCAAACAACAACAACAACAACAACAACAACAACAACAACACTGAATAAAGCAGTTAACATACACATAACTGAGGTCCCATAAAGGAAACAATGACAATATGGTTGATTTCCTGAGAAGCAATGAGAATCAGGAAAAGATGGAACTACATTTTTTAAGTGCTAAAAGAAGAAAATTGTCAATTTAGAATTTGACAGCCAGTGAAAAAAGCTTTCAAAATGGAAGCAAAATAAAAATATTTTCAGATCAACAAAAGCTGAGATAATCTATTAACAGTAAACCTACAGTATAAGAAATGCTAAAGAGAGGTTTTCAAGTTGAAAAAAAAAGATACTAAATATAAACTCCAGCCTATAGGAAGGAATGAAGAGCACTGTAAATGGTAAAAATAAATAAATAAAATAAAAAGCAGGTAAATATAAAAATACTTTTTGTCTACTTCCTTTAATAGACGATGTTTGAAAGCAAAAATGATAATAATTTCATGAATAGTTTTAAAATATCTAATAGCAAAATA